AAAAAAAAAAAAAAAAAAAAGAGAGATTTCCTGAATTTCTGACCACTCATTCCTTTTCCCACCCTGGATTTTCCTGCCCAGCCAGCAGGGAGGGAATGTGGCAGGGAGAGGAACCAACAGCAGCACAAGGAAAAATCCAATCAATCCCAATTTGTTCCCAAAGTGAGGCTGGGAGCTGCCTTCCCAGAACCTCAGGAGGGCTTTTTTGGGGTTTTTGAAATCAGATTTATTTCCCAAATCCTGAACTATTTAAGTGACTCCAGGGGTGGGGATCTCGACGTGCATTGTACAAATCTTTTTTATGAGCATGTGTTTGGGTTCCTGTGCAAAATTCCGTGTGCAAATGTAAAAGTTCGTGTTTGGATTTTAACTTCATACCGAGCTCTGTCCAGTTTTTATTTTGGTTTTTTTGTTTCGTTTTGATTTTTTTTTTTTTTTTTGTCTCAATAAAATTTTAGATTTATAATCCTGATTTTTTAAAAAATTTTTTAAATTTTTTTTTTTTGTTGTTGTTCTTATTTTTTTTAACCTTTTCTTTACCTTGCTCCCTTTCCTCCAGTGATGAGTGACCAGGTAGAGCAGGACACGAAGGGAAGGTGAGCCCTGAGCCAGGTTAGAGCTTTGGAGAAGGTGGCAGCAGCAGGTTCTGGAGCAGGTTCTGGGTTTATTTTGGCCTCCAGCTGCAGAAGAGAGGCTCAGCCAGAGCCCTGAGGCCTGGCCTGGGAGCCTGGAGGGAGTTGCCAGCACCTCAGGTGGGTAAGTGACCTTTGGTTCCCTTCTGGGCCCAGCCTGGGGCGGTTCGGGTGGGGCCTGGAGGATGTGGCAGAGCTTTGGGGCTGCAGGGGGAGGGCTCCTGTTAGCCCAGAGAGCAGGTGGGGTCCTGGGCAGGGAGAGAGGGGTCACCTCTGGGCCTGGAGGAGGAGGAGGAGGAGGGTTCCAGGGGGAGGAAGAGGAGGGTTCCTGGAGGAAGAGGAGGGTTCCTGGAGGAGGATGGTGGTTCTTGGAGGGAGGAGGAAGAGGAGGGTTCTTGGAGGAGGATGGTGGTTCCTGGAGGAAGATGAAGGCTCCTGGAGGAATTTGGTTCCTGGAGGAGGATGATGGCTCCTTGAGGAAGATGATGGTTCCTGGAGGAGAAAGATGATGGCTCCTGGAGGAGGATGATGGTTCCTGGAGGAATTTGGTTCCTGGAGGAAGATGATGATTCCTGGGGGAGGATGATGATTCCTGGAGGAGGATGAAGGCTCCTGGAGGAACACGATGGCTCCTGGAGGAGGATGATGGTTCCTGGAGGAGGATGATGGTTCCTGGAGGATGATGATGGCTCCTGGAGGAATTTGGTTCCTGGAGGAAGATGAAGGCTCCTGGAGGAACACGATGGCTCCTGGGAAGGAGGAGGGTTCTTGGAGGAGGATGGTGGCCCCAGCAGGAAATGGTGGCTCCTGGAGGAAGAGGATGGAAACCAGAGCTTCCAAAGGCTCTGGGCTCACCTGGAGCTTCCCGATGGATTTGGGCTCTGGGAAGGAGCTGTGAGAGCACAGGAGGGAGAGAGATCCCAGGAGGGGCAGTGGATCCCCAGAAGATCACTGGATCCCTTCTTCCCTGCGAGCAGAGATCCCAGGAGGAGCAGAGGATCCCAGAAGAGTGGTAGATCCCAGGAGGATCAGAGATCCTGGGAAGAGCAGTGGATCCAATCCCAGGAGGAGCAGAGGATCCCCAGAAGAGCAGTGGATTCCTTTGGTGGATCCCTTCCCTGTGAGCTCCCTGCAGTGTCCCAGGGAATCCTTGTGGGATTTTCTGCCAGCTGGGACCCCACCCTAACCCAGGCCCTGGGGAATATCTGCAATAATCCCCCAGGAGGAGAGCAGGAAGCACCTGGGATCTACTGTGGATCCAGTGTGGGTTCAGTGTGGATTTATGGTGGATCCAGTGTGGATCCATTGTGGATTTATGGTGGATTCAATGAGGATTCAAAATGGATTCAGTGTGGATTTAATGTGCATTTGTAATGGATCTAAAGTGGATCCAGTGTGGATCTAATGTGGATTCAGTGCAGATTTATTGTGGATTTATGGTGGATTCAATGTGGATTCAAAGTGGATCCAGTGTGGATTTAATGTGGATTTATAATGGATCTAAAGTGGATCCATTGTGAATCTAATGTGGATTCAATGTGGATCTAAAGTGGATCCTGTGGATTCACTGTGGATCCAATGTGGATTGATTGTTGATTCAATGTGAATCTAATGTGGATTTGTTATGGATCTAATGTGGATTCCATGTGAATTTATTATGGATCTAGTGTGGATCCGAAGTGGATCTAAAGTGGATTAAATGTGAATTTATTACGGATCTAATGTGGATCCAGTGTGGATTTAGTGCCCTTGGCTGAGCTCGGATCCGGATCCAACACCGGGAATGGGACTCGGACCCTTCCCATCCCAAAGGGATTTGGTTGGGGGCTGGAAGGGGGATTTTGGTTGGATTTTCCCATTGGGTTTGGCTGAGGGAAGTGGGGATGAAATCCCTGGAGAAGGGGCTCTGAAAGGACAAAATCGTGGAAATAACAGGGATTGGATCCACAAAATTCCATCCCTGCCTTGTTCATCCAGGGACCCCCAAAGAAGGGCTCGGTGCTGCCTTTCCAGGGGAAATCCAGGCAGGATTGAGGTGCTGGAAACGCTCCCAGTGAAGGATTTGGTGATGGATTTATCCCTCAGGAACGGGGCAGGATTTGGGATATTCCACCCTCGGCATGGAATCAACGCCAGCTCTGGGGATCCGTGGGACAGGAGGGTCCCAGGCCATTCCCAGCAGGAAAACCAGACCTTGGGAGTGAAAATTCCAAAGAGAGGGATCTGGGCCTGCAGCACCTCGGGGGGCTCGGCCCCAGGACCCCACAGAGCTGGGGATTCACCCAAGAACTCACTTTTCCTTGGATCTGAGAAGGAAAAAAGGAAAAAAAGCTGAAGTTGGTCGTTTCCATGGAGTTTTTGCTTTTCCATTCTCTTCATTCTCCATTTCCTTCTCCTTTTCTTTTTTCCTTCTCCTTTCTCCTTTTCCTTTTCTGTTTTTCCTTCTCCTTTCTCATTTTCCTTTTCTGTTTTTCCTTCTCCTTTTCTGTTTTTCCTTCTCCTTTTCTCTTTTTCCTTCTCCTTTCTCCATTTCCTTTTCCTTCTCCATCTCCTTTTGTTTCTCCATTTATTTTTTCTTCTCCTTTCTCCTCCTTTTCCATCCCCTGCAGGGTTGGACCAACTCCATCCCATCCAATCTGGATCTGGAGCTGCTGTGATGGCAGAAAATCCCCGAACTCCCATAATTTCATCCCCCCAAAACCTCAAATCCCAAATAAAACCCCCTGGAGACGAGGCTGGTACAGTGAATAAGCCGTTTTTATTTTTTGTCCTGTGCTCACAACAATCTCTCTTCTCTCCCTGACAGGTCACAGATCATTCAAATCAAAAAAAGTTTCTAAGAGGAAAAAAAAAATAATAATTTAAAACACACGCACAGGGCTCTCTCTCCATTCCAACCTCCCCACATCCCAACTTGTGCTTCATTCCCGGGAAGCTGGAGGGAGCTCAGGGGTCCCATCCAGCCAATCCCAGCTCCAAACATTCCCAAAAAAACCTGGAAAACATTCCCACAAACCCACACACATCTTGCCAGCGGGCCTTCCCTGCTGCTTTCCCAGGTGGAACAACCACCCTGGAATCCTCCTTGGATCCCATGCACAGGACTGGCTCGGAAAAGCCGTTATTTTATTTTATTTATTTTTTAAGCTTTTTTTTTCTTTTTTTTTTTAATTTTTTTTTTCATTTCTATATATTTTTTTTTTCGTTTCTATTTTTTTTTTTTTTTCTGGTTGCTGGTAAAGTCAGAACACTCCCAGCTGTGCTATATGGAAATACAGCTCTAGGATGGTCTCCGAGGTGTGGAGACCTGACAGTGATCAAGGCACTACCCCCACCCCCCTCCTGAAAAACAAAGGAAGTCAGACCAACACCTCTAGGGACAGAAGAGAATCCTATAATGTGATCACACGGTTACACGGAATCTTTATGGCAAAGAGAACATTGAGCAGCTTTGAACGTTTGGGCTTCTCCCTTTTTTTTTTTTTTTTTTTTTGTTTTTTTTTTTTTAGTTTTTTTTTTTTTTTTTTTTTTTAACTCAACACAAGCACTTCTAGACCCTAAAAGGTTGGGGGGAAGGGGGGAAATCAAGGCTGGAACCCCCCCAAAAACCCCAAAGCGTGGTTTACGGGACGGGGACCTGCAGGTGTTGAATGCTCGAGGTGACACCCCGAGGTGACACCGCGAGGATGGCATCGGGGTCCCAGCGCTCCCCCTTGTGCTGTTCCTGACCCAAAAATTCCTCCCCAAACATTTCCCAGGAGAAGCAGGCGGGGCCTGAGCGCTCAGGAAACGGATCCTGCTGCTCCTCCAGCCCCGCTCCTCCCTCCCTTCCCCATCCCACCCTGGCCCTTCTTCCTCCCGGGATGGTTTTCCTGCCCTTTCCCCACGAAGCTCTGAGCTTCCCCGGGCAGGGAAGGGTTAATGGGAGTCTCCCCCCCGACCCCTCCCCGGCTCTGAGGTTCCTCGGGCGGGAAAGGGTTAATGGAAGTCACGCCACTTTTTTGTGTCTCCGCACGTGTGCCCTGGTCTGATCTCTGATCATCGAGGAAGGAGGAATCTGGAATATCTCACACACACCGATGGCAAAAAACGGGGTTGGGATAAAAGGAAGAAACTTTGGGGAAAAAAAACAAAACAAAACAAAAAAGAACCAAAAAAATAAAATAAGGAAAGGGGGAAAAAAAAATAAAAACAACCAACTACCTGAAATCACAGAACTTTGGAAGTTCAGAAAAACGTCTCTCCTATAACTTGGTTTGAAGTCCATTCGCTTAAATCTTTTTTTTTCCTTGTTTTTTGTGTTTTTTTTTTTTCTCTTATTTAAAGCCAGTTCCTAACAGTAGTTTGTTTTTTTTCTTTTTTTTTTTTTCTGTTTTCTTTTATCCACCTCGTGCCAACCTCCCCAGCAACGATGCCAGCTCGTCCCTGCTCTTCCCCATCATCTCGGGGAGCTGGGCGGTGGCAGCTGGGACTTGTTTTTTTATTTTCGTGTGTTTGTTTGTTTGTGTGTGTGTGTGTGTGTATATGGGGTGAGCTCCGTCCCCCTCCCCACATTTTTTTTTTTTTTTAAATTCTATTTTTTTCCTTTTGGGACGGCCACTCCCGCAGCAGAGTCCCCGGCGCTCGCTCGCGCCCGCGTGCGGTTCGAGAAGACAAGAATCGGATAAGAAGGCATCAAAAGTTCCCCTCCGCAAGCAAACTTCCAGGCTCGGCCCCTCGTTTCCCCTCATCCCTTTCCTCCTTCAGCCTTTTTCACTTCCTCCTGTCCTTCTGCTTGCGCTCCTGGCGCCGCGGCTGCGGCTCGGCGGGCGCGGGCGCGCGGGGGATGAGCAGCACGCTGCCGTCGCTGCCGTACTGCAGCGCGTACCGGCTGGGCGAGTAAGGCCGGCCCTGCTCGTCCCTCAGCCGCCCGAAAACCTCCTGGTACAAACTCTGCACTTTCTGCTTCATCTGCCGGATGGATTTGAGGAATTCCACCTTCTCCCTGAGCAGTTTGGATTTGTCGCGTTGCAGCTCCTCCACGTCGCGCTCCAGGTTGAGGATGGTGTCCAGTTTTCTCTTGCGGCAGTTCTGGGCGGCCATCTTGTTCTTGCCGCGCCGGCGGATGTCGCGGATGAGGCTGAGCTGGGCCTCGCTCAGCTGGTACTTGGACAGGAGCTCGTTGAACTCCTCCACGGGCAGGTTGATGATCTTGTCGTTGGTGAAGGGGATCTTCATGGCCCTGGCGCGGTGCTCGTCGCGGCTCAGCTGTTTGTCCAGCAGCTCCGACGGTTTCTCCTTGCCGCTCTTCTTGCCGGCGCCGGGCGCTTTGGGCTCCTCGGGATCCAGGGCGCCCGGGGCCATGTTGTAGGTGTGGTTGTGGCCAACGTGCTCCAGGTAAGGCAGGTAATGGAGCTGAGCCGGGTCCTGGTAGCTCATGCGGCAGAACTTGCTGTACTCTGGCTGGTAGCCAACCGCCCCTTCCGCTTCCTCAAAGTCCACGTTCTCCGAGTCCGAGCTGTAGCCCACGGCGCCTTCCTCGGAAAACGAGGAGGAGGAAGAGGAGGAAGAGGAAGAGGACGATGAGGACGAGGCTTCGGAGCTGCTCAGGGAAGCGGGGCTGTGGCCGGAATCCAGGGAAAGACCTGAGTCGGAATCGAACTCCTCTTCCAGCTGCGAGGCCTGCACGGGGTTGAAGCCCTCCTCGATGGCCAAGTCCATCAGGCTGATCTCATCCAGCATGGCCTCGTCCAGGAGCCCTCCCAGGGGGTCGGGCAGCTCGGGCCCGGCCGTCTCGTTGCCCGTGCTGTTCATCTGGGGCGGGAAGAAGATCCCGCTCAGGTTGGTGGAGCCGAAGGTGCTGTTGAGGCCGGTGGAGTTGTCGGGCGCCAGCTGCAGCAGGGCCGAGCCGCCCGCCATGGAGGAGGGGCTCTCGATGTCCGAGCTGAAGAGGGAGAAGTCCTGGGAGCAGCTGCCCAGCGAGGCCTGATGCAGGCTGACGTTCTGGTTGATGGGCGTGCCGGGGGCCAGGCTGTAGTTGGACGCCAGGAGGTCGCCGCCGGTGCCGCCGTAGAGGCTCTCGGCGCTCGTGCTGTTCACCTCCATGGCCTGCAAGAGACGCGGGCACAGCTCGGTGGAGGAGCTCCGGTGCCAAGGACGCTTCCAGATCCCGTGGAAGGAGCTCACAGACACCACGGGGACAGCGTGGTGCCGCCGCAGCGTCACCGCACCGGCCTGGACCCGAAACCGCGGCCGCACCTGGAGGGACAAAGCCCTTCCCGCCCCTCCCGGAGCTCACCTGCATCTCCATGATGGACATCAGGTCCTGCCACTGCTGCTCCAGGTCGAAGGGCGACTCAGTCTCGGCCAGGAGAGGGGACAGCAGGTTTGGGGGGCCGCCTGGGGCCCGGCTCTGCCCGGGCACGGCTTCGTTCAGGGCGGAGACATCCGCAGCTGGGAACTGAGCACGTCAGGGAATCAGGGCTGGGAGCTCGGGGACGCTCAGGGACATTCAGGGATGTTCAGGGAGGCTCAGGGACGTTCAGGAACGCTCAGGGATGTTCAGGGACACTCGGGGATGCTCAGGGACGCACAGAGATGTTCCAGGAGGCTCAGGGATGTTCGGGAAGGCTCAGGGCTTCTCAGGGACATTCAGGGTTGTACAGGGATGGACTCTCAGGGATGTTCAAGGATGCTCAGGGATGTTCGGGAAGGCTCAGGGATGGACACTCAGGGATTCTCAGGGACATTCAGGGATGGAAACTCAGGGATGCTCAGGATTGCACAGGGATGGACACTCAGGGATGCAGCCACCCCCCAGCCCAGCGCCCTTCCCGCCCACTTTGCCACGAACTGACGAGCAGCAAAGGCAGGAGGCTTTAATTAATCACAGCCCCCCCTCGCCGGGTGGTTTCGCAGGATGCCTGGAGCCTCCTGGAGCAGCCAAACCCAATTTTCTGCTGCAGGAGAAGCGAGCGAGGCGGGGAGAGCCTCGGGATGGACCCTGTGGGCTCACCTCGGAATTGTCCCCAAAAGGGAAGGTGGCCTCCAGCAGCCTAAGGCACTCCTCCAGGGACAGGGCTGTCTGATCCTCCGCACCGGGCACCTGCGGGGAGAGGAGACACAGGGAATGGGAGCCGCGGGCTCGGGGAGGTGCTGCTGAGGAATCAGCTCCCTTCCAGCAGGGCTCGATCACAGCGCATCCAAAAAAGAGCCAGAGCCCCACCCAGTGCTCCTTCGCTGGCTCCATCCTCCCGCTCTGGGCTACGGGAAAGCGCCAACGCTGCCGCTCCCGGCCAGCCTGCTGTCCCCTCCTGTCCCCTCCGGCCACGCAGGCCAGGGGGACTCTGCGGCTGCTCACAGGGACACGGCCTGGCCCTGCCCAAATCCTGCTGCCCACCTGGGCAAACCCTGCTGCTGTTGCTGCTGCTGCTGCTGCTGCTGCTGGAACAGCCCCCGCACAGGCACCGGCCCCGGCACCGGCACAGCCGGAGGGCCCCGGGAGCGCAGCCCCCAGCCCGGCCGGCCCAGGGGTGTTACCTGCGCAGGGAAACTCTCCCCGGTCTCTCCATCAACTAGCGGGATTCTATCCAAGACCTCATTCCCTGCACTCCTCCAGCTGTCCCCGCGCTCCCTCCCATCGCTCAGCTCTTTGTCCACTTCGCTCTCTTTCTGACGGTGGCTGTAGTCAAAAATCTCTCGCCCAGCGCCGAGATCAATATCCTGTCTCCACAGGATGTCAATCAAATCGATGTCCTGCAAGACAGACCACATTTCCTTCAGCCCCCTGGCCTAGAGGAGGAGGGAGGGGATCCCCACCCAGCGGCCCCTCCCCAGGGACCCCCCGCCCGGCCCGCAGCCCACCCGCCGGGTCCCCCTCCTCCACCGCCGCTGCCGGGGCTCCGGAGCCCCTCGGGCCGGCCGGGAGCGGCTCTGCGGGCTCCGCATGGCCGGTGCTGCCCTGCCCGCCGCCCATGGCCGCCCGCCCGCCGCCGGGGGAGGCGGCGGGGGCCGCCCGGGCCCGCGTCGCGGCGGCGGTGGCTGCGCCGTGCCCGCCTTGCATCAGCCCGTGGTGCCATCCCGGCCATTTGCATAAGGGGTGGGGTGGCAGGAAAATCCCCGCATTCCCACCCACCTGATGCAACTTGAGCCGCCGCCGCTGCTCCGCCGGGCCCCTGCCCGTTCCCCGCCGGTACCGGGCTGCCCGCAGACCCTCCCGGGCACCCCCCCGCAGCTCCCCGCTCCTTGGGGCGGACCCGGTACCTTTCTCATGTCCCCAGCTGCCGCCCGGGCCGCGGCGCACGCCGATCATGGTCCCCGGGGGAGGAAGAGGAGGAGGAGGAGGAGGAGGAGGCGGCGGGGCGGGTTGGCCGGGGCGCGGCGCCGCGCACGCATCGCCGGCCGGGGCGGCGGCGGCAGCGGCGGCG